ATTTATTATAATTATAATTAAAAATACAAGAGATAAGTTTTATTTTATTAATATATAATGATTTTTATAATAGAAAATTAATTTTTACTATATTTTTTTAATAAAATTGACTTCTGATTTTACAAGTATAAAGTACTAAAAATAATAAAATTGACTTCTGATTTTATAATTATAAGAGTTACTAAAAATAATATTTATTAAAATTCTAATAATTTAAAAATTTGATATTATATTTTTAAGTATTAGTTATTATATGAAAGTTTTTAGATTTAAAATATAAATTAAATATAATAAATTCAGTTCTATTAGTTATAATAAGTTATTAATTTAATAAATTGAATTTAAAAGAATAAAGATATTTAGAAAATATAGAAAATATAGAAAAATACAAGAGAAATATAGAACTAATAGAATGTTTTCTGATTATTTTTAAGAAATTATAATAATATTTTAAAAATTTATTTTTTTTTTGCAATTTTTTCTAGATACTATTGATAATAATTCAAATATTATTCATGACACTTATAATAAGTCAAGATATTCATTATTTAAAATAATTTTGCATAAACAGATTAACTATTCCTCTGCTTCAAATGCTGATAATATTTATTTAATTGTATTTATTGCTTTTTGGTCTTGATAAGTCAGCTTATATACTATTGCTTTACAGGCTAATTCATAAATGTGAATTCAATTTTATTTAAACAAAATTCCTGATTAAATTCTAATATCTTGTTATTTTATTTAATTAGCTTTTTCATTTAAAATAATTTATGAAAATTGTTAAAGTACACCGGTGCTAATTGTTACTAGTACCAAATTGAAATAGAGCTGAAAGATAGATTACCAACGACAATGCAAATAAAATTGGTATGATTTTAGACACAGCTATTTTTCAAATAAATCAAAATTCTAAAGATTCATAAAGACTTGAAACATGTATTTATAAATTATGCGGGATTTAATTACAGTATAGTGATCTGAGGGAAAGATTTCAGCACTATAAAATTAAGTTGTATGCGGTACTTGATGGCTATAATATTGATGATAATGTCAAGCACGACGTAAAAGGTGGTAAGTAAAAAAAAAATTATTGTTTATACGTAACGGTATATGTCGTACATGCACATGGGTATGAATTTTACCCTTACTCTGTACTAATTTGGCCGATTTCTGTTCCATTTAAATTCTGTTCCCATGACAGTTTACATGTATACAATACAGTATACATTACATGTATCAATTTTACAATATTTTAGATAAATGATTTCCCAATTTAAGAATATAACCATGAATGTTCTTGTTATTTTCATTGTGGTTCCTTTATTTTGTAATATGTTTGAACAATATTAAGCAATGAAAAAAAAATTAATATTATTGTAGAAATGTGATACAAAAGTTAACACATTGGAACAAGTGTTATGAACGGTGTTTTTTATAGGGAGATTAACTGGCATTCTTGTTATTCTTGGTGTATCATTATAACATACGACACCTGTAAAAGGGGTCATTATATGATGTAATTATAAAGAGGCTGATTTTAAGAGTATTTAGCTGAATAGATGAAAATATATTAAGGGTTTTATTTACAATAAATCTGTACTTTACATAATTTCAAGAGCGTGATGGCTATTACCTGCATTGCACAATTTCTCATTGAGCTTGTTCGATTACTTTTAGAGCAATAAAATCAGGTTTAAAGTGAAATTTTTGTGAATCTATGTCGAAATAGATCAATTAATGCCCCAATCTTTTGATTAAAGATCCAAAACATCAATATTTTTAACTGCTGAGATAAAATCGAGTTGTACTTGGCGTCGGAAAGTTGAGACCGCAAAATTCTCTTTATAGCGTCGATAAATAAAAAGAAACTGGAAGGATTGGCTTATTATCAAATACGTATTGTTGCAATATGTACGACAAAATAAATAATACTAACCTCCAAGTAAACAAAAACTTTAATTGATCAGATGATGTCAAGGGTTCCAATATGATTTTCGGTAGCTACATGTACATGTATTATCATTAGTGCGTGTGTTTCACAAAAAGATCTCACTTTTTGACAAAGGACTGATGAAAATACATGTACCATCGATAACTTTATTTGATTAGGAAAGTTTTCACAGAATTCTTTTTTATGCTAAAGTAATCGTATTTAGATATCATTTCATGGTCATATAAAACTTCAGTTATTTTTAGAAATTCAAATTTAAAAGATTTCGAGAACGATTATTTCTAGAAAATTGCTAATTTGGAATACATGTTTCAATGAAAGTAACGTCGTCGCTTTAGCGTGAAAATTTTAAATCAAGATTACCCCCATTGCCTAATATAACGGTTTTGCATGGCGTATTTATACCCACATTACGTATATACAGACAGATTGTTATTTGTAGATGATTTACATGTATTGCGGGTATGTGTGCTGTGCATCATTCCCAGATAAAGTTATGGTTAAATGCTGGGGGAAGAAATCCTTGCCGAAGACAACACGTGAAGTTACCTGACGCAAATCAAAAAAAATACGTGTATACATATATCCAATTTAGGAATTTTCAAAAAAATTTCAGGGTTCAAGATCCTAAATAAATGTACGAATTTCTTATCAGATCGATTATTTTTTTTGTTTACATGTATTTTTTAACCGCACGATTTATATTGTATACGGTAACTTCTCAAACTTCCAAGATTCGGAAATACGCATGCCTAAAAAATTCTTTGAAAAATTGATACGTAATTTCTATTGGTTTTGATCTTATTGTATGTTTTGATTTTATTGTATAATTTAGATCGATAAAGATAAACGAAATATGTCAAGATTATTTCTGAAGATATATTATCGTTGTATTTTATGCGAGTCAATGCCTATCTCATATTGGAAAGTTCGTATCTATTAAAGGTGCTTTCCGCTATCAAAATTACACAAATAAACATCTGATAAAATTTCCGTGATCATCTAACAAAGGGTTTGTTTACCGAGCTAACGAGTTAAGGAATGTGAGAAAGGATTTTTTTTTTACATGTCAAGTTTTAACGGGTCATAATATGATTAGATAATTAGCATTATTATAATTGGTTAAAGTTCTCAAAAAGATTTGCAATACCTAAATGTGCACATGTATATTATAAGGATCTTTGCTTTGGGTTAGAAGCTGGCTAACGCGCGTGTATTTTTGTGTCATGTTGTGCATGTACTTACTTTATTTAGTATTTTCCATTAATACATGTATTTATCTGAAAATTATTACATATATTATTATTTTGGTGGATAACGCAGCATATTTGTAATCTCCTTTCTTTTTTAAAGAGATCCTCATATAACGATAGGAATCTGTAACGCCAACTTCATAAGCTTTTGTGCGGTATAATGATAATGTGTAAAAAGGAAATTAATAGAGCTTGTATGCAAAAAAAAAATAACATGGAAAAAACCGATTCACAGCTCATTTGATGTTTGTGTACATCGATTATGATAATGGATTTTGAAACAAGCCATAATAGAGATGAATTAGTAAGCGAACATCTGCCTGTAATTGCGATGAAATTACAACCAATTCAGGGAAAAAGCTAACTGTCTTTTAAAAGTTTGCTTCTGAGCTATATATCACCACCTACTTTGCATATACGTATATGCAAATTAAAAAATACATGTAAAATGATGCAAACATTTAAAATTAATATGGCATTTTGATTTGTCTTTCTTTGGTCTTACATGAAGCAATTGAATTGGTTTCTTTCTTTCTATGAAGAATATTAGTACAAATAAATATTCAGTTTGAAAATTTTTATGCCTCTAAAAGAAGCGTGTGATAATTCTCCTTTATTCCCATTGTCCGAAATTATTAATGCATGACGAGTTATAACATCTTGCTTTAATAGTGGAACAGAATTTAGCGTTATCATTTTATATTAAAAATATAAGTAATAAACAAACAATCAGGAGACGTTACAGAAATTTGATGTATACATGTATATTTACTGCGATTAATATATAATATAATCAATACTGTGCAAAAAAAAAAGCGCGAGGATAAGCAGTCTTTACTCTGTCATTTCTTCATTCTATAAATTATGTTCAACAGTTACTGTGATAGATGAGATAAAATGATGAAGCACGATGAAATTACTGCAAGGTAATGCAATAATAAGCTTGATTACATGACATTATCGCACATGGTTCATTTATCATTATTTGTTCCCCGATTTATATATGGATGCAAGTAATAATTTCATTTTTCACAAGAAACAGAGCTCGCGTGTATTATCTGCTCAATTAGCTTCTTGTTTTTAATTTTAGATCATCTCGTTCCCTTTCGCCATAGTAACCAGATTTAGCGTAGTATTATATACTTATATATATACTTTTCGTATTAGGTTGTTTATTACGAACACCAAAGAAGCAAAATTTTAGGGATCTTTTTTACACCTAAAAAAAATTATACTAGACAATCAGGCAATAAAATATTCTATATAAAGATAATAATAATACATGTAATAGGCAAAACATCAATTAGGAGCATAAACATGGTCCCAGACTACAGTATAATTTAACACAAACAAAAACAAACAAAAAAATTAGTACACGAATAGGATAAATAAAGCAATATTTCTTTCATGAAACTTTTTTTCAAGAGAAAAAGTTTCTCGATTCTCCTAATATAATAAATTTTTAATGAAACTTTAACAAATAATACGAATATATACCTATCAAAGTATAATTTGACGAAAAAATCGACCGATTTAGTGACTGATTACTCTATTTTTCGATAGAGCTGGACTATTAGAGTTATCTTTGTCTCGTTTTTGATTTTTTTTTTGCGCACTTGGAAGTATCTTTTTCTTTTGATCATTCTTCCTTATTAAAAAAAACCTGCTTTTTGCATTTCAGAATTTTGTCGGGTCTGCTCCTTTGCAATCTTCACAAATTTAGAGCATAAATCTTTCTCTTTTTCTTTACACATCTTCTTTGCTTGACATAGAAATCAAAAACTTCAACGATAATGTCTTTATTTGATAATACCGAGTCGATAAGAAGCACGCCAAATTCTACGCCTGGAGATGAAAAGTTAGAATTTATTTCAATTTGCGAATCTAGTAAAATAAATCATGAGAATTTTCTGGAGGACGATGAGTCCACGACGACTCTGACAATAAGACACCAAAAACGTCGTGGCAGAAAACCAAAATATCCGGATCCTACCCCCGGATATCGTTCTAGCTATAGTGTCAATAGGAGTTTTACCCAGACGGAAGTCATGCTTTTAAAGAATATTTTAAAAGAATCTGGTGAACCTCCCGCGGATTTATTCGCTACACGCGTTTGGCCGCCTTCTACGGAGTCAAATGACCAGCAACATAATAGTCACAATCATCATCGATACCATGATAATGAACACGACGAACATGATATGGAGATAAAAATTATGGATCAAGTAAATGATGCCACAATGGTTTTCCCAGTTAACGAAGAAAATCCAAAAAATCAAGAACTTTTATCGAATGCACGACGAAAGAGATCTCGTAACGTTACCTCTCCATATCAATCAAGAGTCTTACGTAAAGTATTGGCTGTTACTTCATTTCCTTCAACTGAAATGCGTGAAGCGCTCGCAAGTTCTTTAAATATGCATCCGCGGACAGTTCAAATTTGGTTTCAAAATCAGCGTCAAAAGGCCAAGAATAATCTTCAAACACCAACCGTAAATACAAATACGAATGCAAATACATCAAAAACTACCACTTCGTCGATGAATTCTGAAGGAGAAGAAATAACTCCAATTGATGACTATAGCCCTGAAATGATGCCGATGCCAACGACTGACATGAATGCAATTTACTTTCCTAACACTAATTTAACGTTTCAAAACAACAATGTTGCTGCTCACGAAGCAACCAATTCTCAAGCAATTCTCACCCCTCCTATCTCAGAAGATTCTCGGCAACCCTTTATCAGTAACGGCAACAATAACGATATTCGCGAGGATAGCAACAACCATAATTGCAGTATATCAAAAAATGATACGCCAAGTCCACATGCACACCCACAATTAACTGCCCAAAGTTTCTTGCCTGACGCCACAACAACTTATGTGAGCACTGCACAATTTGCTAATCCATATATTTTACCAATCTTTTCTCCCAACACCCCATTACCATCACCACCAACACAAACATATATACAAGATACATTTCATCATCCTCAATATTTCCGTCCATCTTCATCATCATCCTCTAATACAACATCAACCTTCAAATTTCAAAATTATCCCACCCATCAAATAAGTTCGCAACAGCATCAAGACGAGGTTCAACAACATCAATCTCACAACCTTTATGATTATAATGATCCAAACGTGGCAAATCCCACATTAGATATATTGGCGGCGGCGGCGACGGCTGCATTGCAAGCTGATATTTCATCTCATCATCCTATTCACCATCAAATACAGTCTATACATGCCAATACAAATGAACGAATTTTCGATTCTTACGACTATTAAATCATTAAAGACTTTTGAAAAGTTTATCTTTTGTATAATTTTTTGTAATATATTTGCTTCAATTTTTGGGCATTTATTTCTTCTATCATTTACCTAAAACTTTGCATATATGGAATGGCATACTTCCTTTTTAATCAAAATACACTCGATATTCCCTAGTTTCATGTTCTGTTGAGTTTATCTTTTAAAATCGCGCTGGCTCGCCATTTTTTTAAGAAAAAACTCATGTTTCAGTGTCGATATTTTCATATTTTCTCGTTCTTTCTTTAATTTCTTCATTTAATTGCCATTAGTTCGTGGTTCTCTTGAAACGATGCATTTTTTTATCCTTTATTCTCATTTTTTTCGAGACAAGATACGGAAATCACAAATCTTCATAATATTCTTCGTATGCATTTTTAAAACTATGAATAACATAGTTTAAAATTGCATACACACCTCATCATTTTTATTTACTTACACTTAATTTTAATATGTGAGAAAATCTTATTCTAAGAGAACTTTTCATATTACGATGCATGACTTAATAATTATGGTGGGTTCGTTATAAGAAATAAAAGAAAGCAAGAAAAACAGCAACGGAGAATGAACGAATCAATCATTATGCTACACATATAAAGAGGTCCTGGGATCTTTTCTGTTCTCGGTCTTTTTCTCGTTCCGAAAATATGCAAACGACAACAAATTTATAGATATTCGCATCATTTTTTCATCCTCATTCTTTTTTATGCAACTTTTTACAGCTTTTCTTCAATACCTAAGAGCGTGGAACTTTCAAACATACAAAATGCAAAAATCACAAAACACACTCTTTCTTATCATCTCATTTTTCATCATTCGGAAGCATAATTAGATTTTTTTTCTTTTGAGTTTTTAGAGTGGGTTACGTTAGACAACATTTCTTTTTTCTTTGTAAATTTTCAATAACGAAGAGGAAATCATCATTCATTAGACAGACATCTTTCATATTTTTTTTATAATGACCTAATTAAAAAATCACTTTCTGAAAAAACTGCGGAAACAACGGAACTATCTGTGCACATGTGTTTATAATCGGTATAAACATACGTAGTAAAAATTAAACGATCTGAGCCATTGATTAAATAATTTGTACAGCATCAAGAATATACATGTATTTTACAAGTTTACTTATAATAAATAATCAACCATTGAAAATTTACTATCTTCATTAAATTAAAATGAAATACGACATGCAAGTCTTCTTTACAACCAAATAAGCAATTTAATTAAAATTATTATCCATTTTCTCTTCGGGTTATTTTTGTTTCGGATTAGGTAATTAATCTAATTTGGAGGATTAAGGTTTTTGGTAAGTCTCAGAAATCAATACCTCGGGACTTTCAATTTCGGTCAAAACTAAAACACCGCCAATAGATCATCAGTCTCAGGATAAATCTGGAAATGCCAAAATTGGTTCAATAATGAATTTTCGACACGCTAGGTTAATTATCTAATCTCATTTATCCTTTTTTGGTCCTTTAAACCGAATTTTGTTAACAAAAGGAATATGAATGTGCAGAGCATTTTTTGCTTATATTATCAACTTCCTTATTGATAAACCGTTAAATGCAGAAAATTTCGGAACCATATAATGTACGTTTTTACAAGCAAAATCTAAAGATCCGAGAATTTATTATTGAATGATACACACTACTACTGGATCAAAATCGGTGTTTTTATAACTTGTTACTTCTTATATTTGAATATGAATGGTAATTTTATAATTTTCATTTAATGATTTGATGCATTTTGTATTTGAAGAGCATTCATGTTACTGCATAAGTCGTGAGTTTAGCACGACTTTTAAATGATACATAGTTCACCGCATCTAATGAGCAAATATTTGTCTGACTGTACTGTCTGTGCACCATATTCTTGATTTATACAAAGTACATCAATAACGACAAATTTTGGACAAATACAACTCATTGACATGGCGTGCGTTTACATTTAAAATGAGTATTAAATCAAAAACGTGTAGGACAAAATGCGAAGTAAATTGGAAAACTATAAACAAATGCTAGACAAATTTTTTGCTCATAATGATAAGGTCCGTGGTACGTACTTAGGACTAAAATGTTTCATTTGTATCAGCGTCTATTAATAATACTCATCTTGACCACGTTGTAAAAGTTGAATGAAACTGTTGCAAGGAAACGATTTGAGTAACAATAAATAATATGAGCATTTGAAATGTTTTTGGTAATAAGATAATAAAAAACTCATCAGTTAACTTTTAATTTCCGAAGTTTACGATTGTATCAAGCTAATATTTTAGGTCTGAGTAAGATGAATAAGGATGTTCACATTTTAGCTGAGTATATCTTTTTTTGGTAGAGCCTTAACCGTCTATTTATCCAATTAAAAATTTGATACTATTTGCAAGGTGTTCTCTCATATTCCTAAGATAAATATTTATGTATTTTTCAACAGCCCTAAATTATGTTTTTGTTATTCAGCGCCAACTACATTATTTCTTGTAAATATTTATTTATGACAATGATAAAACCAACCAATCAAAATGAATGATTACTACATATGTTTTAAATAAATATTTTTAAAGTATAATTAAGTCTATCTAAATATAAAAAGATGATTTCAAAAATAAATTTCTTTGCTATAATTTATTTCATCTCTTCAGCATATCATTTCCGCATATTAATAGCATATACATGTATAGCAATAGCAAAACGTTTTGAGCATAATGTGTTAAATATCAATTAATGACAAATTATCATGTGATATATTATGATACATGTATAACATAAAAAAATAGGACGCGCTCATTATTTAAAACAATATTAAATATATATTTAATTTTTTATCATAATTAAAAGTCTATATATTTTTGATATCTTTAAAAAAATAATAAAATTTATAAATATAATCAAAATTATTTAAATATATTAAAACATATTAATTAAATTTATAAGAAATTTATCAAAGACAAAAAAACTCAAATAATTTCAAAGTAAAATAAAAAGAATACAATGCGATCAAAAGAATGTAACGGAGTTAATTTTATGTTAATTTTCCATTAGTATACTTTAATTTTATATGAAATAAAACATATACTTTAACAGATATCGGATTTATTAATGGAAATTATCATTTATTTAATTATATTAATTATTTTTATATCTGGACAGTTTCTTTGAATATTAATAGATTTATACGAAAAATTGACATAGCAAAATAAAGTTATACTTCAGTAAAAACCAGCATTATATAAAGAAAATTATTAATTTTCATATAATAAATTACTAATTATTAATATTTCTAATTTAAAGAAATTATTGTTTTATTAATCTATAATTCTTTAATAAATATATAAAATATATAATATTTATTTTATAATTTTCTTATATTTTAAAGAATACTTATTCTTGAATAATATTTATCTTCGAAAGAATATAATAATTAAGTAATAATAAATAAAAATTATATTATATAATAAATTATATAAATCATTTCTTTTTATCTTTTTTTTATTTATATTATGAAATTTATAATTATAATTGTTATTTTATTTTATAATAATTTAAAATATTTATTCTACTAAGAAATTTATTATTAATTTAGAAAATTAATATTTTTAATACTTTCTTTTTTATTTTATTTAATAAATTATTTTTGTTAATTATTAATTATTAATTTTTATTTTTAATAATATATTATATAATATGAATTAATATAAAAGATTTATATTTCAGATAATATTAATAAATTATTTTTTAAACTAAAATTTTAATTTATCTTATTTAATTAAGTTATTAAATATTAAAATTATTTAAATATATATACAGTTATGACCAAAAGTAATGACTCAGGGGCTAAATTTACTAATAAAATATAATGAAAATTGAAATTTTCTCTCTATATTAAAATTTAAAATTTTAATAAGAAATAATTTTTATTTTTATATTAAAATAAAG